TATATATATATATATATAACAGTTTTGCCATAAGTTCCTACATCTATCAGTGATACATTTGCCACTGAGAAAAAAAATCTTATGACCTGGCACAAGGAACAGCTGACAGCAACATCAGTGCTGCAGGAACAAGGGAAATATTCCCTGCAGACTCACCTTCACTTGTCAAGGAGGCTACCACAATAAGCCCTGCCAGCACACAGGGACACAGCAATCCAGCCTACAAAGGACTTGCAGACATCTAGAGATTTCTGACATTAAGGAATTGAAAGAGAAATCCCTCTCTGAGCTGTGAGTGCAATCACAATGATTAAAAAACAACCCCTTTGTGACCAGAAAACAATCAGTTCAGGAACAAAGCAGTGAGATTTATTGCAAACACAGTAAGTTTATATTCTTCCATTGATGTGACAAATTAGTTTTTCTTAACACTGCATTACTGACCTCACTCCACAGTGTGATACTCATACACAAACTTTAAAACAGTAACCAAACAGAAGTAGTTTTATTTTTTCCTCGTACAAATGCCAAATATCACAGCAATAGATGTAAGCAAAAAAAAAAAAATGTTCCAAATAAATATGACAGCTTGATAACAAATTTAAACACAGTAATTACTGTATAAATGGTTTAACAAATGGTATTACTGCTAGTAGAATAAGCATCTCCAGGGAAAAGAGGATTGAATACATAATCTGGAAATAGATTAAATATATATATATAAAATATACTCAGTTTATTGCATGGATAGATAAATATTAAAATATTTGTGCACATAACTGGGAATGAGGCACTTATTCAGGTTAGTATAAACAAGGCCACTTATTAAGTAGAAGGGAAAATGTTAATAAGTCTCCAAAACATCTTGCTGAAATCTAAAAACATGAAACCATAACAAAAAAAAAGCCATGTTGTTACAGATGTATTTATAGTTCACTGAATTGTAAGAAATCCAATTTCTTAGGAATGGGACAAATCTGGCATACCTTACTGAAAACATTGGGATTCTTTTCCCAGGAAGAGGACTTTGACATCTGACTCATATATCTTACTCACACTTGTCCAGCTTTTCAGTTTGCTTTGTCCTTTTCTTTCTTATCACCAGTTGGTGCTATTATTTTATATAGTTAGAAAAACATTAGACTGATAATCCCCATCAACCTAAATATTTTACAAAGCTGTAATCAGACGCTATTCGAAGCAGTTGTTTACTGGGCTAAATATTTGGCTTGTAGAACACATGGGTTTTGAGTAATTTTATAAAAACAAATAAGAATAAAAAAAAAATTTGCCTGCAAGCAATTTTAATGATATTTCGGTCTGTTAAAATTCAAAAGCAGAAAAATAGCTCTACTGATAAACACCTAATTTCTGTATTTTATATATATATTTTTAAAAAAGATCTTCTCTGCTTATACAAAACAGGCATTTTATAAATATTAAAATGTTCTATTATTTACATGTGTCCCATTTTACTGTAGAATCATTGACTGCCAATATCCAAACATGCAGGTTCTAAGAGAGAAATTCTGCTTTTCTCATAGTAATTTCACATCTAGGCACAAAGGCAAATTTGATCTTAGGTTACATTTGCAACTTAGTGGTGAACCTAGGAAATAGAAAAAGTATCTGTGGGTTAAGGCTTTGATCAATCTTGCACACATAATACATGGATCACAAAACCTGGAAACTTCATTAAAAGAGCAAATTGATGTCAGGTGACTAGGGAAAAGGTCTAAAGCACTGGACATGGCTTAAGGATAATTGTTTCAGGCTAGAACTCAGATTAATTAAAATAAAAGATGACTGCAAGATTTTACGAATGGAGTTTGACCCTTGGGGTGCTGCAAACATCCTTCAATTAAGCTGTCTGAACCACAGGCTTCAGAAAACCTAGAAAAGGCAGGACAGATTCTGACCTGATTAATTTTGTGAAAAACTGATGAAATCCTATTTAATGAGTGAAATTGTAACAATACAAATCCAGAGCAAGAGATATTAGCATGAGCCTCTCTGTGGGCACATTCACACTGTACCATGAATCATAGCATAGATATTCCTAAACTTGTAGACCTCTCCATTTCTGAGTCTTTATGGCTCAGAGGCCAATTGTGCAGAATTAACAGGACAGGTCTATCTGTGTTGACGGAGCACCACAGCCAGGCCAAGAAGCCTTCTGGATTGATTTTTTTTTTAAGTTCAGAGGCAGTATTGTGTGCTTACAGCCAAGTTCAAGTTGAATCCTGCTCAGCTAACTCAAATCTCTGCAGCATGATCCCCAGAATGCCAAACGACAAGTGCATTGCAGCTAAAGATAGTTTAGGGACTACCTACACAGCACAAGATGATATTCAATGTGGCCACATGCAAGGTCCTGTAACTGGATTGGGGCAATCCCAAGCACAAGTGCAGGCTGGGCAGAGAATGGATTAAGAGCAGCTCAGGGGAGAAGGACTTGGAGGTGTTGGTGAACAAGAAACAGGACATGAGCCAGCAATGTGTGCTTGCAGCCCAGAAAGCCAACCATCTCCTGGGCCACATCAAAAGCAGCGTGGGCAGCAGGTTGAGGGAGGTGATTCTCCCTCTCTACTCTGCTCCAGTGAGACCACACCTGCCATACTGTGTCCAGCTCTGGAAGGATGTGGACCTGTTGGAGCAAGTTCAGAGGAGGGCTGTGAAGATGATTAGAGGGCTGCAGCACCTCTCCTATGAAGAACAGAGGCTGAGAGAACTCAGGGGTTGTTCAGCCTTAAGAAGTGAAAGGGCTCTGGGGAGAGCTCATTGTGGCGTTGCAGAACCTAAATGGAGCCTACAAGAAAGCTGGGCAGGGACTCTTTACATGGGGGTGTACAATGGGACAAAGACTAATGCCTTCAAACTGAAAGAGCGTAGGTTTAGACATTAGGAAGAAATTCCTTACTGTGAGGGTGATGAGGCACTGGAGCAGGTTGCCCAGAGAAATTCTGGATGCCTCATCCCTGAAAGTGTTCAAGGCCAGGTTCAATGGGACTTTGAGTAACCTGGTCTAGTGGAAGGAGTCCTTGACCTTGGCAGAGGGGTTGGAACTAGATGATCTTTAAGGTCCCTTCTAACCCAGGCTATTCTGTGATTCTATGACTTGAAAGGACTTGCATGTGATAAATGGGACAATTTCCTGAAGGCTACACAGCTTTCACAGACAAACATTTGCAAGGATGTCTTTGGGACAGAACAGGTTCTGTATGGATAAAAACTGACATGGGACAGTGCTGATCCAAACTTGTCATGCTACCTAAATCAAAAACACTGACAGAAAATCAGAATTACTCTTGCAAAAGCAGTCACTCATCAAAAAATGCCCCACAATGACCCAGCATGTTTGTCAAGATGTGCTATGATTATACAGTAATAAATACTACTTGATTCAATCAAATGTTATTTTTTTCTTCACTTCTTTTGCCATTTAATATGGCAGCTGACAATTCCATGCTGGATTCAGTATCATGATCCCTAGGCTCAGTTCAGGCAGAACCTTGTCCTCTGCATTTTGAATCTAACTATCTCTAGGTACTGAAATACTAATGCTTGCTTTCTGAGCAGTGGACATGCACTAAGAAATATAATTTACCTTACAATAATTCCATGATCCATTATAAACTTAAGAGGACAAAAGCATCCAGTTTCAGTGAAAATGAAAATTCTTTCTGGATTTGTTGTATTCTTTGGCTTTATATAAACATAAATAAAGAAAAAATCTCAGATTAAATAGATGAATAAGAATTTGCAGAAAAGAGTATGTTTAGCATTCTGTGACATGCAACTGTTTATAATGCTATGCTGTGTAATCTAGCTGTCTTTTGAAAAAGTTCAGTTACATATAAGTAAAATAAAATAAAAAAAAATCACTGGTATAGCTTAAGTCAAAAGCTTATAGGAGGGAGGATTCATGCCTAAGGCATTTCATCATCTCTCAAACTAATTGCAGACATTGAGTTCTTTGTGAGAAACAGTACAAAATTTAACAGAAGAGTGTAAGGATTCCTCCTCTCAAGTATGTGTTTCTGAAGAAACAGATCTCCTGTCTTATTGCAGACAGGATATATAGCACCTTTGTATAGATTCCTCTGTTGTTTTTGAAATGTCAGAAAATACAAAATCAAACCAATAATCTCTCCCTTACAATGCAGTTCCTTGAACTGCTGTTTCAGATTAGTGCATGGTATAGGGACATCAGCATTACAGCATTACCTTTTGTGCAAGGGTGGAGATGTGGTACAGCTTCTTCTACTGTTGGCAATGGCAGAAAGAGTTCCAGATAAAAAATTTCAAGTACACCTAGAAGCATATGAACTCTCTATTCCTCGTGAGTCACCATTATCTGCTGTTAACAATGTGCAGTTCAAGTTTTTTTTGAGACACTCGGGAGAATCCGGCTTGAATCCTGTGGGTTTGGAATCAAACCTCTGAGCTATCGCTGGTGCAATTATGTGGTAGCATCATTGGTTCACTGCTGCCTGATTCCTTTGTGGCTTCCTTCTTCTCGGAATTTTGCTTCCATTTTAGCAGCAAAATGATAATTGCAATTAAGCAGATGGTGAGGAAAACAGCAGCAGCTCCACCAATGATTGTGACTATGCTGACTCCTGCTCTTGGGTTATTCAGTTCCCTGGGGAGAACACCGTTGACTCCAACCTCCCTTTGAGGCACCTGTTTCTTGCTGGTGCGATCTAGTGCTATGTGTTGTATGTTTGTTCCTCGGTTGTTTTCTACTCCAATGTCTTTTGCAAGTTCTGGGTCCTGGTCAATTCCCCTCTTCTGCCGTCTCTGTGCAGATGTTCCTGGGCTCCCACCACTGAAGAGTGAGTGGTACTGGTGCTCCACACTTCTTTTGCCAATGCCGCGGTTAGCATTCTCTTTTGAACGTACAGTGTAGATTGTATGGACATACCATTCCCTACCCAAAGACACCTAGAAAGAAACATTTTTTGTATTGAAACACACACATACACAATCTGGGCAGCACTATATGCAGAGGAAATGAATCTCTGTTTTGAACTTATTTCTTGGACAAGTACTTTCAAAATTATGCACAGATATCCCTCCGCTATGTGCCAATGTGCACCAGAGGAGTGATGATTTCTGCCAAAATTTTAAGAGGGGTTAGTCTCCATTCCTCTCCATGGCCAAACTCTATGGCTAGCAGGTGCAGATGAAGAACACTATGGCCTTGGCATTTTTTTGGTACTATGAGTACCAAAGGCCACACGAAGTACCTCAGCTGTGGACAGGCTGCAGAAAAGGACCTTCCAGGCCCAACCTGCCAGGTGATTCTGCCCTGGCTCTAATTCCATCTAAGTACAAGAAAACAGTATTTTACTGTGAGCATGGTTGGACATTGGAACAGGGACACTGTGGAGTCTCCTTCCTTGGAGATATTAAAAATACAACTGGACATGGTCCTGAACAACCTGCTCTATGTGACCCTGCTTTGAGCAGGGGGCTGGAACAGCCAATCTCCATAGGTCTCTGACAACTCTGACACTGTGATTGTGTGATTCCCTGCAGTCTGTGTGATATGATACTAGCTTCCTTGAATTTGTCTTGTCTTTCTTGGGCCCCTAATAAATTTGCCCTTTACAAGGTCCAGTAGGTTTGTTTGAACACTGTCTTAAAGCTACTGACCAATAATTTGATTCGTTGAAGCCACGCATTGTTATTGTGGGAAATAACATGTTTTCTATTTCACTCTTGGTTTTCCAAGTCTTTTTCAGGATATAATGCTGTTTCTTCATATTCACATTCTTTTGACAGAATGAGGACCAAAAATCATTACATTATTGGAAATGGATTCTTCATGTGAAAAAATAAGACTTAGTTTTCCTGGAGACAAATTTTGAATCCCTTTCTATACTGGTAAATGGGCAGTTTTCTTAATAATTCCACTGCTTACAATGGGACCTTTAATACTGAAGTAGCCAGGAGTAGGATCAAAGTCTCCTCCATATTTTTTCTACTAATTTATACACTTGAGTTTTGCATGTAGTTTTGCAAATACTAAAGAGACAAATAGGGAAGAGATGACTCTTGGCTGGTAATACAGATCAAAGTGATGAATGCACACAGCCGAAGGATTATACGTAATTAAGAAGTAGTTGCACCATTTAGTTGTCATTTTCTAGGCTTTCCAGTGCTTCACACTGTGCATGTTTGCAAGGAAAGAATTGTACAGAAAATGCTGAATATCGACTAGATTTTGATGGAGTTCACTATAAAGGCTTATGATTCTTGTATTTTTTGTCTTTGAGAAGTAAGATGGGAAGCAATAAAACAATGCTGTTGTTTTATACAATACAAGAAACTTATAAAGTTACAAGAAATGCGTAAGAACAATTTGTATAATTTCTGGTTAGTCTGCAAAATTAAACAAGAGAAAAGCAGATTATCCCTACAAAAATATTTTAATAAGTGCTCCAGATTTTGTATCTAGATAATTTAAAGCATTTATAATCATGTCTGACACTGGAATCAGAATTAATCTTTCTCTTCGCTTCAATATGACATACAGTTAACAACAGTACTTGTGTTTCTTTCTCGGTTCAGTACTCTTGCTAATAAGCTGGAGAAATGATACCTGAAATAGAGGAGTTGAGTCTACTTTAAATCCATCAGAGCCTGGCTGTTTAACTAACGGAATTGCTTCGGGATCATCTACTGCAAGTTTTGCATTAAAAAGCAGATTTCCAAAACTTGTGGCTTGTGTCTCTGGCTGAGCTTTGTCCTACATGGAAGGAAAAAAATTTGTAAAATACTGATTTACTTCTAGGAAAAACAGTTTTATTATTTATAGACAGTGTAAAATTCTGTAATTTACATATGCTGTTTTATGCAATCTAGGGAAATACCAAGAGAAAAGACATGAGAAACAGTTGTGGTCACATCTGACTTGTACCTTGTGACTTGCAACTTCTATGTAATCTCTTGCCTGGAGACCACCTTTTTTTCTTTTCTTGAATACCAGGAGGAAACACTAGAGAGCAATCATAGCTACACTTCTTAAACAAAAACTGATACAATAAATGTGGTTGGAAATGAAAGAAAGAAGTCTATTTCCCAGTCTAAAGAAGCTACATTTCATTTCATGAACATACTTTCATGCAAATTTGAGTGCTAATTAGATAATCATCTTAAAGTTAACCCTAAAAGTTGGCCATCAGCTCTGTAGTTACTTAGGCTTACTCTGTAGTTATTTTCAGAAAGGAAATTACCTCAGATATCATAAGCCAACTTTAGAGGTCTCCCTCTTTCATTTCCCAGTCTAAAGAAGCTACATTTCATTTCATGAACATACTTTCATGCAAATTTGAGTGCTAATTAGATAATCATCTTAAAGTTAACCCTAAAAGTTGGCCATCAGCTCTGTAGTTACTTAGGCTTACTCTGTAGTTATTTTCAGAAAGGAAATTACCTCAGATATCATAAGCCAACTTTAGAGGTCTCCCTCTTTCCTTTATGACTAACTTTACACTATACACTAAATTCTGGATGGCTAAAGATGAAACAAATTCCAATCCTTAACTTGGATGTCCCCTAAGACTTTCTCTATGGTGAATGGATATAGATAATGTAGAGAAAAAACTTATCTTGGGATTCTAACTTAGGTCACGTTCTTAATGAAGGGAGTCCCCAGAATGATGAAGAACAGAACCAGGAGGGAGAAAGGCAAGATATTGCCTCCATCAGTTCTTGTTAACCTGGATCTAAAGTCAAACATTTGGTGCCATCATGAACACTTTTAAGAATAGTTGGGTTCTGGATAAAAGAGAAGTTAGGAAAAAAATTTAAAATACATGTGTGTATCCTCACAGTTTTAGAACACTTACCACGATCTTAAATCTGTACAGAAGGGATGGAGAATCAGCGAGGCACCCATATTCAGTGTTGGATGGATTATATTTGGGTACATATCCATCAGCTCCTGTGCACAGGAAAACCTTCTCGATGCTACAGTAGAAGGAATCACCCAAATTCTGCACTGGATCCACCATCACCCGACCATATATGATATCGCCTGTAAACAGTGTATACAATTCGCATCCTATTAGACTGGAACATTTAGCACAGTTCTGAGGCTAAGTTAATAAATAAGCCTAGTCAAGAGGCTTAGTGCAGTGTAATGTGACTATATCCAAGGACACCCTGCAATGCAGCTTCCCCTGTAGGGTGTTGTCAAAGGCTGTGATCAGTGTGCACACTCTCCCATGCTCTCTGGGCCACATAATAGCAGCAGGATGCCTTTGCTGTTGCTATAACCCGAACCAGTTCAAGGGCTGCTTTAATTCTGGGCTATACTGGGCTCTTCATTCAAAAAGTGACTTAAAGAAACACTATGTACTCCTCTGCACCAAAGCAGGGTGTAGGTTTTGGCCTCCTGACAATGCACTTTTTTTGAAGAGGTATTCTTCTGTATGTCAGTAGCTAGAAACCTGATAGTGTGGAATACAAATTAAATGTGCATGATCTGTGCACAATTATACCTTCTGAGAAAGCAACATCACTTTCTTGCCCAAAGCCCATTGAACCATCAGATAGCCAGAGTGTCTTTTTGGAGAGGAGGAACATCTGGGTGTTCAAGCTGAACTCAGCAGCCACTGGGTCACTGACCTAAAACACAAAAGTGTAAAGCTCTTCAACAAGTATTCTTTAATAACACTTAAAACACAGCATGATCCTCTCCCAGTGTACATTACTTATCATCTCTGCACATCTAAACACAACAATACAGTTTAACAAAAGGATTTCTTTGTACTAGACATATATTGCTATATATCTCACATGAATACAACCTACGGATTATCTGCCTCTGGGATATTTGAAAGTATTCTAGGTTAGTTTCTTCCCACCACATTTTTCGAAATCCCAGCTAAGGAGGTGCTCAGATCAACTTATGTGTGAGGGTAACATGAGGAAATTATTTCCCTCAAAAACCTGTCTCAGTCTTACTCATCACAGCCTGTTTTCTCTACCTCATTTTCATTCTTACACCCAAGCCCCACCTCTGCTTCTGTTCCTCTGCCAATTATTTGAGAGTACACATTGCTGAGGATTTATTTGCAGGTATCAGTTTTTCTGATATGCTGCAGGATATCAGATCACACATGTGAAAATGAACCAAACCATTTGAATACCTTTTTATGCTAGTATTTATCTTTATATATTTGACACAGTTACCTATGGTTCTTCCTTGATTACAAGTAAAAAATAAACCAATACTATCAGCAGCAGGTTCTCATGGGACCATATAACATAAGATTGAAGGCAAACTATAAAGGCACATGGCATAACAAAAGGGTAACAATACAGCAAACAGAGCTGGGGGAAGACTAAAGTTCAAAAAGATGCATGTACCTGAGGAAACAATGTGGAAGACAAACACATTAAAAAAGTAAATCAAATAACGAGAGGCCACTAAACAAATAAAAAAATGCTAATACATATATGTATATTTATGTATATATATGCATAAGTGTGCAGAAAGGAAGGAAGGAAGGAAAACAACAAAGAAAACATTCTTGCTGGCTCATTTCACAATAGAGTCTCAAGACTATCAAAGCAACAGGATTTGGCAAGAAAAATGTACAGCTGAAACATTTTTGTAAATGGACTGCTGCTTTTCAGAAAGAGGAACCTTACGAGCATAGCCTTTACACAGAAATAATGATTAGAAAATAATTTTAATTCTCCTGGAATGCTTCCTTCTAAATGTCTGGGATTCAGGCTATTGGGCTGCAGTCCCACAGCTTCAAACACTTGCCTGACACAACTGGTTTCCAGCTGTGGTTCTGAAAGAGAAACAACCATGGCCTTAACAAGCTCTTCCTGGGCAGTCCAAATGCCCACTGAACAGGAAAGAAAAAGGGTGTATTCAGCTAAAGGCACTGGACTTGCCACACAGTTTACAACAATGGTGAGAGCAATGGCCTGGGTGAACACTGTACATACAGCTGTGAACACATGTCTCAGGCTTTCTGTTTAAAATTGTTATCAATATTCATATTTCATTTTTACATGTAAGTCTCAGTGCTGCCAGTGCCTGACACACAGCTGTTACTTATGACACTAGTTTAAACGTTATAACTTTCATGTGCATTTAAGACAGGAGTTATTAAAAAAAATTATAATCTGTGAGGATCGGCTGGGTGAGAATGGTGTCTTTTTTTTTTGCCTATTTGCCATGTCCAGCAACTCTGCATATGGATGATTTAGGGACAATGCAGATCACTCATGGTAGACAACCCCATGTGATACTTGATACCTCAAAAAGTAGAGAGCTCTTGAGATTGGTCCATCCAAGGGCAGCAAGTATCCTGATTATGGAAGTGCTTCTTTCAGCAAATAGTCACGGACATTTAAAGAAAGGAGATGCTGAAAGGACTGGGATAAAGCAAAGCTTGGAGGCTGAATGCAGTCCATCTTCAGAAAATCCCAGAGTGAAACAGTAGTAACACAATTCTCACTAGTGTTCCAGGCTACCTGCTTCACTCCTCAGGGGCCACAGAGAGAGGAAAAAGGAGATGGGCAGATGACTTATGTTAAAGAATCAAATGTTGAACCAAAACCTCCAGAGGGAAAAGACCAAATATATTGTCTTCTTGATGTTTGATTCTTAAAATGGTTCCTCACTTGTGAACAGTGAAAATAATTATGAAGGATATTAGAACAAAAAGTTTCCAGGGAAATGAAAAGTCTTATATTAAAAAGCCCAAGAAGATAATTCATTACAGGAACTGGACCCACTTGACTAAGAATTGGGGAAAACAAATCCTGTCCTGCCCCATTGTTTTATCATTAGACTTTATAGTCTAAGTCATTTTAGTCCAGTGACACCTACACTCAGAGATCTGAGAGAGTCACAGAGTGGTTTGGGTTGGAGGGCACATTTAAAGATCATTTCACCCAATCTCCCTGCCATGAGCATGAACAAACTTCCACTAGACCAGGTTGCTCAAAGCCCCATCCAACCTGGCCTTGAACACTTTCAGGGATAGGACATCCACAACTTTACTGGTGATGGGGGATTAACTGGCTACATATGATACTGTTGCAACTTTGCAACTCATCCCTATTTTGAATTGATGTACTCGAAACTTTGATATACTGTATTATTAAAGCTTTATCTGATATAATGATCCCTATAGTATCCATTTATTTATACCAGGGTAGCTCTTATGTTTAGTCATAGTTCTTAGTTTTTGGTCATAGCCTTCTTCCAGGTAAGAGTTATATATTTCCGTAGGCTACTATGCCCATTTTGCAGTGATTTTTGCAGGTTTTTTTGAACTTGCTTTGAAATATCAACATCTTATTGTTTATACTAGGTTCAGGCACAAGTTGTGGTTTAGCATTGCTATGAATTGCTTTAGAGTCCCAGAAGGAGATTAGAAATGCAAGACAAAAGCTGAAGTGCTGAACTAGTGTAAATTCCCCTCACCCTCTCCATTCAAACTTTTTCAAAATGTTTAGCTGGCTAACTCTGAGAAGGCAGGTTTCACATCAGATCATGTATCATCTCCCTGCTTTGCCAGGACTTAATGCCATATCAGGAATCATCTGTTCTCCCATAGCTGGCATAATGCCAAATGAAAGCATAAAGACTGCATACATTCCCTAGTGTACTCTGGGTAATTCAACAGAAAAGTGATTGTGTATCCCTGACCCTGGATTTATACTATGAGATGCTTTAATAGCCTACATCTGTACTATTAATGCGCATGAAACCACAGCCACACTGTTCCTGCATTAGCAGTATTGGCTCCAAATAACAGAAATGATACTACTTCCTCCTTACACATCCCAAGGTAACACTAGCCCTTTTGATAACCTGGTAAACTCATAGTTTATGTTCTCTTAACATCCAGCTATCCAACATGACTCCTAAATGTTTTTTTCAATCAATGTTTTCTACAGCACAATCTATTTCTCCATATTTTATTCCCAGCTACAGAGCTTTACACCTGGGCTTTGTGAAAGGTATGCTGTTTGCATGTTCTCATGTTCCTATATGGTCCAAGTTGCCATGGATCATGTTTATTTCAATCACATTTGTGAGTCTTAAAGCTAAGCATTTTACCAGCGTTGGCTATCTACACATGCTCTAGAGCCAGGGAAGGAAGTTCTACCTCAGGTCTGAATGAATCCTCTTCTGGAGGTCCCACTTTTAATACCAGAGACTTACCTCTGATTTCATGTCAGATGAAAACCTTCTGATAATAGTCTAATATTTTCTTAATTATCTGATAAAACTGATTTAATACCAATGCCAACAGAATAGAAAAGAATTCCCAAATGTTCATTCATAGTGGATATCACAGTAACTGTTCCCGAAACCAATGTCAATGAGCTTCCTATTGACTATCAAAGACTGGTCATGAATTGAGGATGAAAAGCCTTTTGTGCTTTTAGGTTAGCTTTTCCCAGCTGGGTAAAACTGGTTAAATAGCAAGAAAGGAGTATGTGCTGTCCCAATAATTTAGGAATGCTTAACTTATAGAATCACAGAATCATCAAGGTTGGAAGAGACTTTAAAGTTCATCCAGTCCAATCATCCATCTAACACCACCACTGTAACCCCTAAACCTTTAAGCTGTATCACCCAGTGCCAGATCCAGATCTCCCTTGAACACCTCCAGGGATGGCGATTCCATGACCTCCCTGGGCAACCTATTCCATTGTCTGACCACCCTAGAGAGTGAAATATATTTTTTTAAATATCTAATTTGAATCAACCCTGTCTCAGCTCACGGCCATTTCCTCTTGTCCTCTCAGTTTCTAGCACTATTACAAGACCAACAAAGGCAGTATGGGAATCAAACTCAAAAAGGAAACATGACAACAGTATCATTGGGATGGTACCTGCTGGAATCGGATATCCAAATCAAATGTGATTGGCTCTCTAGGATTGCAGATCACTGGTAGGCTGTACTCCTGATGTGGAGCTGTGGTACAGGCTATCAGCTTCACGGTATACGTTCCAGAATAGTCTCGAACCTGAAGAGAGAGAGAGTGAGAGAGAGAGTGAGAGACAGATGGGAGCTGTACCCCCAACACCCTTACTAACAGGCTGGGGCAACAAAAAACATAGTGCAGGCTGAGGTTTTACCGCAAAATCTGAAACAAAGCTCCACTGCTGTACTGGCTGGTTGTAGGTTGGCTCACTTCGGATGAGGCTGAGGCTAAATGTCAGGCTCAGGTGATCAGCTGACATAACCATGGAAGTTAGAGATGAAGCTAGAAACATGCCAAGAGACAGATTTGTCACCTTTAGTATTTCATTGCAAACTCTCAGAGCCTGAAAAACATTCCAAATAATTCATAAACCATAATGCCATAGCTGATGTCAATACCTTTACAGGGTATTGGGTTTTATTAACTGAAACTAACAAAATCAATTACAGTCAACTCATCTGGGCCCACTTGATTCTTGTTCAAGTGTCTATTCAACAGTTGCTTTTGGGCTACGTAACAAGAAGTGTATAAAGATTAAATTTAACAGACAGACAAAAGAGTGAGAGTGGAATGGCAAAGCTTCATAATCCCTCCTGTTTTAAACTTGGAATGTCAGCCCAGAGAAACACAACATAATTTTCCTTAGCAATGTAACTCTTTCAGCTCTGCCTGATAGGCAAAACCTAACACATTAGAGGATGGCTGAGAAAAAGTAGAAAGATTATGAAGGAGTTTTCTAGGTTAAAAAAACTGAGTTAAACTAAAAGAGATTTTTTTCCCCTTCTCATTATTGTTCAGCAGATTTAATTTAGTTAGATGATCTTTTCCATGGCCAGCATTCATGCTCGGATTGAGTCCTACACCTGTAATTATTCTGAATAAAGGTAGTGGAGTTTAAACAGATTAAATTGCAGGAACAGGTTCTCAGCAATGACTAACTGAACATCAGTGAGAATGTTATATTAACAGAGTGATACAATGACCATACAAGATCTTCTTTTGCTATCTGAAAAAGGTCTAAATAACCTAGAAAGCCTTCAAGTTACAAAAGAAATTTTAATGCTATCTAAGTTTCTAGGGCAATATAAGTAAATAGGTAATCATAACTATTGGATTAAAACCATCTATCTATAGATCCCTAGTAGACAGAATGGCCTAGATCTTCATCTTTCATTGCTCAGTCTCTTGATCAAGTGGAGCTATCTGCTTTCCATCAGATTCATGCATATTTCATCAAGTTTGACAACCTGAATACAGTCATCAATGACAAGTAAAGAAATCTCAAATAGAGGAAAAATCCTTATCTGAAGAGCACAGTATATAAGAAAAATCAGGTATCAGTAGCAGAAATAGAAAATAAAAGGGATATTATAAAATTTGGGAGGGGTGTCTTTATAATGCTGCTGAAGTGTAGATTATGCTTACCAGGATGGGACATAACAAAAAGACCATGAAACCGAGCTTCAGTCTTGAAGTTGACAACCAAGCGCCCCTCTTCACTAATACGCATGCTCGTTGGGTACAGGGAACCTGGCAGCAACAACCAATTAACAAAGTTTGTTCCACTTGCAGACGACAAATTACACTCCCATGAAACACCTGACCCACTCTTTCATTTACCCTTGTCATGTCAGTTGTTTTGGAGTGGGCCTGCTGGTACCTTTTGGGTTGACTCAAGATTCTTTGCAAACAAGAATTTATAGTGAGGCTTAGGGTTTTCACAACATGCTTCAACTTCCAAAGCACATGGAGAACTTCCCTGCTAAGTCATGTTTGCACATGTTTACCATGGACCCACACAGCTGTTCTAGCAGGCTGAGGAAAGTCCACGCAGCACAGTCTGTGCTTGTGTTCAGTCAAGAGCATGGGTGTTCTGTAGGAAGATCAATACTTTTGTTTTCACCAGGCATTCAAGCTGACTTCTACCAATGAAAGCTGCTTCAGAGACTCTTTATCAGTGCCTTCCTGCCTACTGTGCTAAGGCAGCAACCACCAGCATTCAGTTGTCCCAGTTGGTTGTGGCTTCCACAGCAAGCTGCTTGAGGGTGCTTCAACCTGTGAAACACATTCTGACAGGCTTTGCATTGCTGGCAATTTCTGGCCTAAATCTGGCCCAAACGACAGGCCTTATGTCTTTTAATTTCAGGTTACAAGGTCTTGTTCACACACATCAGATCTAGTTTATTGCTGTAGCTTGCAGCCAAATCCCTTTTGGGGGGGACCCTTCTCTAGATTCTGCAAAGCTTCAGAGTTCAGGTGTTTCCTCCAGTGTTCCCTTACGAATAGGCAGTGATGTTCCATCATTCTGCTTGCCAGGAGCAAGAAGGAAACAGGAATGTTCCCCCACAAATGTGCTGGAAGCCTAACACGCTCACTAGTGTGAATGCATACCACCTGCACAAAATCATCTGTACCAGTCATATTTCTTGGTACATTAGAAATATCTATGTATGTATGAATTATGGCTTTAGAAGACCTTGACTGCTTTACAATGTTAAGTAGAATTTATGTGGAACAATTATAGGAATTGAGAATTATGGAAATAAGCTGGAAACTAGTTAACCTCTTCCTGCCCAGAAAAACAGCTGCTCCAAAAATAATACCCAAATCAGACTGGGATATGTTGGGGTTCTAAGCTCCACTACCTCCCTGGGTTTATCATATACTTTGTGCTGGCTGTATTGAAAGGGAACTGCCAATGTTAGGCATCTCTAAAGATCTGGCCATCAGCTTCTCAAACAGAAAAAAAATTAAAGCATTGAAGATAGCATAGATGCACCACATAACTGCTGAGACAGGATTACATCTGGTTGTTATTTGGTGACTAGTACATCATGTGATTTGTGGCATGTGGCTGATTCTTTAGGCATGGCATGACATGTGCTTCATTCTTCATGCACTGTAGATTCCACTTGCCACTCCTCATTTCCCACTCTTAACATGAGGACAGAAATTGCATAGCAATAACTTCTGTAGTTCATATACAGAGTTTGTAGAAACAAAAAAAAAAAAAAAAAAGATTTTATGCTCCCTGGCATCCTGAAACTGTGTATGTACATAATTACAGGTGGCACATCTGTATTCTACCTTAGATTGAGAGAGATATGGAACACCTGAAGCTTTAATGCTGGGAAATATGAAGTAAATTCACACAAATAGAACAATGCAGCATGTAGATGTAACTGTGTATTTTAGTCTTGCACATACATCTGTAAGCCATTATTTTTTAAAAATAAATTAACTTTTTGCAAAGATAAATTCTGTAATGATAGAGTTTGATTTGTTGACTAATTATAGTCACAAACATTTACTGGCAGTGTCTAAAATGCTTACAGAAAGTTTCACAGTTTACTAGTCTAACACATAGGACATGCTATTATCCCCATTGTATACTTCTGCTTCTTTTGAATGTTTCAAAATCAAAATTTTCAAAATATTAAAGGTTTCTGAAGCTGGCTATTCCTAGCCAGGAAAAATTGCATCACCGAATACTTTCAAAGTTTTTTTCATTAAAGCACAAACATTTTGTGTGGTAATAGAAGATGGTTACATAATGTACCTTGAGGTTCTGAGTAGAAACAAATGTTTCAATTTTTGCATGTGTACTTTAAATATAACAATACGATTGTGTTTCTTTGCAGTACAAGAACTGATGCCAACTCTACATGATTTTCATAAACACTCCAGCAGAGACATGTGAGAACTAAGAAATGACAGATTGTTTGCAACTGTTAATAAATGGCAATTTAAATATTTTGTTTAGTATTGGAATGATTGAAAAATCATCCTACTGTGTGCAACTTTTAGTAACGGAGTATGAGTTCTATGCAAGCAAATCCAACACCCACCTTGGAGCTCTGCTTCAGGTGGGCTACCGATCCCATCCTTCCACAGGATGGCAGTGTCATACACAAAAGTCAGACGGAGCTCTGACTGTAGGTCGAAATGCTGCCAACCTCCTACACCCACAGGAGAGTGGAAAACATAAGAGACGTACAAGGGGACTCTCAGCGTCACATAGGACTGTACTAGGTTGAGAACCTATAAAAAAAGAAGAGTGTTTTTTAGGGTTAGTGATGATGAAAGGCAGCACTGAACAGGTAAGCCAAATGCAAGACAAAGGGAAGACAGAACTTCAAATAAATATTGTGACTGAATCAAATTCTCTCTTTTTCCAAACTACAAATGAAGTGCAAAACAACATTTCAACGGATTTCAGTCAAGATTACATCCCTTCAAGTTTCATTTTTGTATTTCAAACTGATAATGTCTTCTGATAAAACAGAAACCCCTCAATTTTGAGTCATCATTTTAGTTTAGGGTTTTTTAGTACATAAACAACATGGCTACAAATGAAGACTTTAGAAATTTTTCAAATATCCTTTTTAATTTGCTCTAGTGCCTTAACCAACTCTTCTGCTTACATTCTTGCAACATAAGAAGCTCTTCTCAAAGACCCTGAACTTGCTCAGATGTTCTTGCAAGACTGAGTCCTTGGACTGTGCTTATTTATTTCTGGACCTGTTTTTATCTTTATGCATGGATAGTAGCTAACACACTGCATGCAAACACACAAATCATACTGTACATCACTGTCTGGAAGAACTGAAACTAACATACAAGTTGATACGGATTTAAAAATAGATCCTTTATGCATGTAGTGTACAAAATAATAGTGCTGTAAATATCAAAGAATTACATATTCTTTATATATATTTTTATGAAAAAAAGCAAGAACAATAGTCAGTAAACTGTCACCTCTTAAGATAGCTCTTACATAACACATGGATCCAAACCTTTCTGATAAGACTTCACATTTATGTTTTGTTACAAATACTTTTTCATTCACATATCTCTGATTAGAAATGTGCAATCCAGATCCTTTTAGACCATTATAGATGTCCTTAGAAATACATGGAAGGAAAGACATTGAGTTCATCTCCCAGTGGGAAGCTTTTCAAATGCATAAATACTGTTGAATTCTCATTTACTTCCAACAGAAATTCCATATATAAATTTTTACATCTGAATGTTTTCCTGGAGTGATTGCCTTACACAGTTCTAGAGAGTGTTTGGCACTATTAAAAAACCTACAACATTTAAAGAGCTTTACAAGCTGTGTAAAAATCAAACTGTTTTTTCCCTCACCCAGTGGCAAATCAGGGTGCTTAATGCCCATTACCTTACAGCTGCTTTACATTTCCAGATGCCTGACAAAACTTTTAGTAATACTATGAAACCACAAATTTACTGCCCGCATTGATGAAATATCCTGAACTAATTAAGGAGTTCATTAAAGCAAATGTTTGTAGTTGCCACAACTCGCTTCACTTGTGGCACTCCTCAAGGTACACCCTATGCTACCAAAACCCTTTCCACTTTTTGCTTGCATCATTCTATAATACGTGCTAGCTTTTAGGCATTAGACAGTCTGGAAACACACAGTATCACAGAATAATTAGGGTTAGAAGGGACCACTGGAGATCATCTAGTCCAACACCCCTACCCAGGCAGGGTCACCTGGAGCAGGTGATACAGGAACACATCCAGGTGAGTTTTGATTGTCTCCAGAGACAGAGACTCCACGACCTCCCTGGGCAGCCTGTTTCAGTACTCTGCCACCCTCAGTGTAAAGAGGTTTTTCCTCATGTTGAGGTGGAACTTCTTTTGGTTTAGTTTATGGCTATTATGCCTCATCCTGTCGCTGGACACCACTGAAAAGAGTCTGGCACCACTGAAAAGTAAAACAGTAAAACAGACTGGGAGATGAGATGCTACAGGTGTAGATTATTTTATATGAATGCTTTGTTGGTTTTATATAAACACAATCAAGAACTTCTATTTGGAACAAAAAGTGTTTTTTCTTTTTTAGATGTATTGGATGACAAATTGAACTTAGACAAAACATTATTTAGTCCTATTTAAGTTGCAAGTTGGTTTGTCTTTGGGATACCTACACAGATATCTGAGCAATTATTTTGGACATGGATTTGCTACAATGTTCCAAATAACGACACAGGAGTCTCATTTCTATTAAAAAATATAGCTATGGTGCAACTTCAGAGTTCCTCATGGTTTGCCTTCGATTCAGGACTTACCTCAAAAATTTGTCATTTCCTGGAACAGTATCAAGAATTGAACAGATTTGGCCATATAACAAATGTGCTGCTATTGTAAGGTCATCCCAGACAAACTGTTGTTTTTCTCTGTGTGTTTCGGTGCTACATCTGTATGCTGTACACTAAGAATTAGACATTGAAGTCAAAGATCTGAAACTCAGTTTGCTTATGAGGAAGAGATAATGCTTAATGATAAAGCAGAGGACTGGAATATCAAAGTGAGAGTTTAATGACCTTGAGGACTAGAATAATAGTGTGATGAAATTTTATACCTTAAAGTTTAAGGTAATAGAAACCAGTGCAGGGATTTCTGCTAGAAATGAAAGACATTGGTTAGAAACAATAGAGGGAGAAAAAAGTTTGGTATGCGAGTTGATCACATCATAACTATGACCTTCCTACCCTCTCTGTGTGCTATGATCCTAAGATAAACCGAGGAATGGGGTGGAAATTAGAAGTATGCATGCCATTATACAGAGCACTAGTGAGAGCTTATCTGGAACAGCTTTGATCACCCATGCTTGAAAAAGCCTAATTTGCATTGTAGACTACAGAAAAAAGACATCAACATAATCACAGGAATGGCAAAACTATCTGATGAGAAGAGTCTAAAACAGCCAGGTTGTTTAGCCCAGTACAACAAAGGCTGAGAGGGGCCAAGAATGCTGTATATATACATCAGGAGATGAACAGCGAAGAAGGGCCACTGATGAAAAGACAAATGGGCATAAGATAGCCATGAGAAATACAGAAGAAAATCAGAAGAATTTCTAGCCCTCAGTATGGTGGCATTCAACAAGAATAATGAGGCCATGAAATCCTGTTAGGTTTTGGATTAAGTTTACTGGCATTGGAACCACATTAGAGTTAAAGCAGTGGCCTGGACAGGGTGATCCACAAAACCCCTTCTAGCTCAGTATCTTATGCCACCTCAAGTCAAAAAAGACTCCTCCTTTCAAAGTTTTTCTTGATTTTCAAGTATAAAGTATCTTCAGCTCTTCACATATACTGTACATAAACATTAATGGGGTTTGTAAGCCACAATTTAGGGTTTTATTGCCTCCATTCAATGGGACCATAGTGTTAGTGAGCTCAGCTCATTTATACTGGTGGAAAACTTGCAGCAGGATCCCTTCTGGGGCAAGTCTGCCAGAAACACTGCTCCTTTGACATACATTACCACTGCTCCGTGGGAAAATCTGAAACTCTCGCCATTCCTAGGACACTAGAATTTCAAAGGTCCTTCTCTTTCAGTAAAACCCTTATGAGATGCCTGGGCAGCAGGGCTGCCTGGCCCAGCCTGGATATTTATTTGTGTACTTATTGAGGTCTGTGTGCTTCCATCAATATAGCTGCCCTTATGCGTGATACATGGCATGTAGGAAGAGGAAGGAGTTCTTGCTAAACCAGCTGATTGAGTTTTTATGCACACAAACCCTTTTCCAGGCACTCATGGATTTGCAGGTGTGGAGGCAAACCTATAGCACTGATAAAGAACTATTGAATAAATAATTCTATCTCTCCTAACAGTAAATTAAGGTCCTCTCATTTCTACAAGGAGAAATCTACTCTTCAGTGGCAGAAAATTTTAAGAACATGCTATATGAAAGGATCTTTTTGATATAATAAAAATAAAATAAAGAGAAAATTAACTGCAGAGGAAAGCTGTGCCAAAGTGAGCAAGCACCCCCCAGACACCCACAAATGAATCAATGGAATGTGTTACACAGATGGAGGTGTCATACTTCTCTGGCCCTCCTAATAACGCTGTTTAGACAAACATGAGAAAACATTCTTTCCACTGAGTTATCTTTCTTTTCCAGAACTGCCTGCAAAGCCTATTGAAAGCAGCCAGCTGTTCATATTATATCTCAATGCGACTGATAAAACTAAAATGGTAACTTAGAGCTGTGTAAGTGTGGGATCAGCTTAAATGCTGTGGAGAGACAGAACAGGTGCAATATATATCTATGCATCCTATGTACAGGAGATTTTACCAGTTGTACTGACAAAATTACATTCATTAACATTAATTTTAAACGATAAGTGGGTGTGAGTTTTAGCCTTGTGATACCAGGAGAGAAATACAGATTACAGCTACACCTCATCTGAACTGGGGAAATTGTGTCTAACACTCTGTGACAATGCCAGGTCTGGAGAACCTGAGAAGACAGAAGACAAAAATTTTTTGAGGGAACAGACTCTTACAGTTAGTTACCAAATTTTCAAATAGCTGATCTCAAGATTCGTGTGTGTGAGGCAAGAACATGATTATTATTGGACACTGATATAAGCAGTAGAGTTTCATACCTATATTCTTTTTGCAAGATAAATTATGACAGAGCATAAAGTCTGGTTTTGAATACTGACAATTCCCACTTAAGTCTTAGGAAGTATCAATGGAAATTTCTATGGGTGTTCTTTTGTTCCTCTTTCAGATGCAAACCGTCAAACTTCATTAAGCAAAAAAACATAATTAGTTTGAGAATCTGTCATGTAACAAGTGAGAATATTTACAAGAAAAAATATTTTCACTAAAGGGTTTGGTGCATAGACTCTGTTCAACATTTATAGTGTACTTTATGATGTGGCTTACACTTCCAGAGGGCAGAATTTGGCAGTGTGTGTGTACTGGCAAAATTAGAATCAGACATTGGAAACAACACTTGATATTGTATATCTCAATGAAACAGACTTCATTACGATGAAAATTGTAATTTTGTCCTTTAAATTACCCTAAGCCTCATTTTCTATTGCATTTACTTGTTATGTCTGTGATTTTGAGTCACACAACTTTAACAATGTTATCAATTAACTCTTTACAGAATGCCCATATGGTACAACTAGGATTTGGCCCCAAGAAGGCACCCAGCCAGGTAGGTCACAGGTGAAATGCAAACCAGGCTTGTTTAAAAAAGTCTGAATGGAGAGGAGAATGTAATGCAGCCTTGAAATGCCAGTTCCTTGAAAAAAATTATTATCTGACATTGTTACATAACTGGTGCATTAAATTGATAGTAGTTTTTGCATCAAAGTTTACTAAATGCATATGCTTGCAGCTAGAGAAAAAAAAATTGTCTGTTAGTGAGGTTCCATGCTATAGGAATATGAGTTGTAAGGTTTTAAATTTAACTGTAAAAAACTTGTTTCCTGTAAAAGACTTGATCAACTGGTTGTTGTTGTTAATAAAATTTTTTTGAATAGTAATTTCCTCGCTTCCCTGTGCCAAGTCTGGCAATGGACTGGAACTAGGGAAAGCAACATCAATATATAAATACTTGGCAAGAACCACACAGAAGCCTTCAGATGCCAAACTGCCTGGGTATAGCAAACAGCTATAACAGTAGGAAATGAGATCAAATGATACTTCACTCTCTATCAAGTAAGTGTAGGCCAACTCTTCAATATATGCTTTGTTAAAGGACAATCACTTGCTTAGTTTTCACTGTCTTGTTTTATATCTTCCTTTCATGAGTATCTGTCATTGTTCTAGCACCTGCGTCTTGAGAGTGTGAGATGTCTGTAGTACTCGTCTCCCACAATGTCCCCATGAAGTAAAGTCTGACCTTTATTAGTTACTTGAAAATATGGGACGACAGCTCTCAAGTAGGCCAGTTCTTTTTTAAGGCCTGTATAAACCCAAACAGACACTGAATTTTAGGCTGCGACTGCAGGTTGTCATAAAGAAAACTGCTAATCACCAAAGCTACCTCAACTTTAATGTGAACAGAATTCTAATCCAAATTAATTAGCTCAATTTAAAGAGGAGTAGGTCTTTATTTTAAAACAGAAATTCCTTAGGATGCACTTCTAAATCCATATTTAGATACACAAATGCCTGGGTTTTCAGTTGTGGGCAGACCCCAGGAGCAAACCGCCAAGCTGTATACTGAAAGGAGTGCTGCATCTAACTCACACAGGGTTTGCTCATGCACAGAATAATTGAGAAAGAGAATGGGTCACAAGCAAAAGGCCTCAAAGGGAAAAAAAAAAGAAAACTAAGAGCTTCTCTGTATGTATTATGACAGTTCATGAGTTCATGGGAACTGGCTAAGACAGCTGCAGCCTGCAGCAAACACTAGGAGCTATGCCAGAAGAACTACACCAGCTGCAGGTCTCCCACCTCACTTCTTGCTGACTAAAGTTCATCTTCTTCCCCTACCATAGCAGGAGCTCCCATAAAGTGAAGGTCCATATCACACAAGATATTCCCAGTTGCTTTTGTGAAATCTTTCTCTCTGAAACAACAGGACTATCTTTGTTTGGCCATACAGGTACTGGAGAACTAGAGTCAAGAAACAGAATTTTGAGCCTAGAGATCTAGCCAAAGTATCTGGCAAATTCAAGGTATTAAATTTACAGTGGCAGCAGGATGTGGCAAGAGTGCTTTTGTTATTTATCTGCTCTGTCTTTATAATAGAATTTAATCTTCCTTTGTGTGCTAAAAAAATGGTGAAAACCATAGCTGCCAGCTTTCCTCTCAGAGAGGAGGATTATTAATTGTTCACCGAAGGAGAAAAAACCAACAATGGTGACAACCACAGAGATAGGGCACTGACTGCCTCCCCTCTCAGCTGGAGGGGTCATGTGAAGATAAAGACCAAACCTGTAGAAGAATTAAATGGAGGTGGGGGAAACAGGGAGGGCAGTGAAGCGCGTTACTGGCTGCAGGGCAGTGTTTCACTTCTAGAAGTAATTCAGCTTGATATTTCACTTAACACACTGTAACCTTTTAGCCATAACCTACAAGGCACTAAAGGACAACTTCATCTGCAGTTTCATGGCTCTTACAGCTCATGCTCATTGCTCTCTGCTTTCAAATGAGAGGTATTACCTAAAGTACATAATACTTCTGGAGCCTAAAGCAAGTACAGCTTTCTTCCTTGGCCAAATTACCACTTATGCATGCCCTCCAAAACTGAACATACAGGTTCTTCTAATTTACTAAAATGTTGGAATGGTGCTTATTTTCTCCTTGGTTTATATGCACATAGACATAAACACATTTTTTTTTAGACACGTTTGCCTGAATCAGCTATTCAGCCTTTTCTCTACAGGACACGAAAGTATTTAAAATAGAAAGGATTCATACCAGGTCTTCATTTCACTGAGGGAGAAGTGGCTTGCATAGGTCACAGGATCAGAGTTACAGCTGCTTGGAAATTGTGTGTGCTTATGGTGTTGTTGTGCGGGAAATAAGCATATAAGGTTGCATATTGCATGGGCATAAGGAGATAGTCAAAGGAATGATGAGTTGAAGAAATGAAATCATTCTAAGCACAGAGACTTCTATCAGTTTTATCTTGTGGGAATGTGTAAGGATTACATCCCACACTTGGAAGGCCCTTTCTCTCTGACAGGTTCATAGTTCTGTTGGAATGTACTTGTAGGAGGATGTGCTTGTAGCAGAGGGGTAAGCCCAAGCAGATGCATCAATAGTGAGCTTCCAGCATCAAGACAGAGACCTTGAACTGGTCTCTGTAACAGACAAGGAACCAGAACTGATGACTGAGCACTGAGATGATATATCCGCCCATGCCTTTGTATCTAAGAAGGGCAGAAGCTTCATTTTGCTCTGGTCTTATGCTTGAAAGAGTATATAATCTCTAGTTAAGAGGAGCAGAATGTTAGGAAGTTAAGCAAAGGCTAGACAGATCCTGGTGCAATTTCCTGTCCAGCAAACTGACTGTATGATCACCTGTGAACACCCACAGAGTAAGATGGACTTTAGGCAAGTAAGTATAACAAAAATAAAACAAACAAAAAATCAGTTTATCTGATTAGATATCTATATATCCATTGGTGACTGTGCTTTTAGCAGAAATTAGCTTTGTTGTTGCACATGCTCATGTGTTTCTTTGGGCAACAACACACTTGTCACATCTGTCTCATGCTATTTGGGACTAACAAAATAAGATTTTGTGCATATAGGTCTACTGAGGTCTGACAGAAGATGGCTCCCTGGCAAAATGGCAGAAAAGCAAAGAAATTATGACCATTTCACAAAGTGGCCTCATCTTTTTCACAATGGTTCAACAAGGAATGCAAGTATGCCAGAAAAGTGAGTTAGCTGTGGATAGACTTCTCTGAAACAAGGTACTGCATTTCCAGTCTTTCTTCTGGCCTGTAGGATTATTCCGAAAGAGATTTTTCTGTACAACTGATCTTCATAGTTACAGCTTTTGTACACCAGAGCCTGAGTGGGATCAAACAGGCTTATGTAATAATTATACAAGGAAGACTCAGGGATTAATTCCACTGTCACTGCACCAGAAGAAAACCTGCACCCTTTTCTTCCACATTACTATGGATTTCTAGAAATAATTTTCCAAAGGACACCTGAAGATCTCTCCAATCTTTTTCTTTTAACTCCACAACTACTTTCACAGGTCTGTTCTTTAGCCATTACATATTGGCAGTTTCTCTTTCCTTCCTGACCAACACATTTTCTGCTGGGTAATGTGAGACCACCATGCTGTCTGCAGTGATGGGTCTTGTTACTCACTGAGGAAGAGATCAGCAGAGCCAAGCAGCTGGTAGGACAGTGCAGTCCCTTGTTATCAGCAAGTAGTTTCTCCACAATGCTTCAAAACTGTTTTTTTAAAGGTACATCACAACTAATACTAAATATCCCAGTACCATCTATGTGGCAAAAGCAATTTTTCAGAAGGCTTTCATTTTAAGACTAAGTTGGCTCACTATACAGTAAAAGTGAGATTGGTTTGTCCTAAAATACTCCAGAACTGTACTGGGAGAAAATCACAGCAAATTTCATACAAACCAAATTATTCTCTTAACTTTAATTAGACAAGGATTTCACATATAGCCTATTAGCATTTAATAGATATTGATAGCTTTAAGAAATAAGCCAATCTTAGGGAAAGTCTATTTCTTCTTAAGAAAGAAAAAGTACAATTTTAAACTAAATTCTAAACCCATTTATTTCTACTAGCATAGATGCATTATAAGGGAAATAAATACTTTAAGAGTACAGTACAAAATCAAACTGCAGTTTCATACCTGTCCATCTGTCCCAATGGTGCCTCCACAATCTGTGAGGAGCTCAGACATGTCATAGTAGCTAACAAACTCCCATAAACAGGCTTCCAGGTTCAGATTGCGGTAGAAGCGCAAGGTGTTGAAGCCTCTAATTGTTGGGCTGTATTGATAGGGTATGGTCTCTCCGATCACATCTGGATTCTTGGTAGCGTCAGTTAAAAAACCATGGTGGGTCTTCACTTCTGTGTAATCCAACAAGTTGGAACATTTATGGTTGCCAACTCTAGTTCCATCAGGGCTAAGTGTCAGCTCAAAGTTGGAGAGTTCTCTTGTAGAAATAACAGGCAGCATGCCTAAAAAACATTAATTTATAGCACTATCACTAAATGCCACTAAATGGTCAGAGCTGCTTAATTTAGCCAGACTTTGTTAAACACTAAGCATGTTATGCAGTGCTTCTGTATTATGTACTTAGAACAATTACTATACTTTAGAATAAAAAGAAAATTTATATGCTGTGTGTATGAGAATGTTACCCACAATAAATATGCCTGTATACTATGAAAAGCCAAGTAAAATATTTTGAAACATAATATTTAAACAAATTAACATTCAACATATTAATATTTCAACATATTATTTGGTTAAAATTTGGTATGATCTTTTTAGAAGCCTGTAGGATTTAAATGGTATATTTCTATGCACTTCAAAGGAGTTCTACAAAGCATAGGTCTAGCCCAATTTATATAAATTATGCAATTAATCTGAAAACACTTAATCTTCACACCAGAGATTATGTATCAATACAGTATTTTATGCATCTTGTTGTAAACTGCACCTGTTCTGTTCATAACATTTTTCTCTGGTCCCATGTGTTAAAAGATTATATTATTATTTCTATTTAAAATCATATGACCAATAAAATAGCTCAAATAGCAGCATGTTGTATGAGTTCTCTTAACTCCACAGCTGATTTTCTCATACCATCAATATGTGGCATTGTGACTGTCAGTTTGATGAGGTTGGTATAATCAGGATCTTCTGGGCCAGTATAGCGCAATTTGGCAGAGAATGGTTCTGCTCCAACTACTCCTGATATTCGAGGCTGACAAAGACCTAATGGAAAAATGAGAAAGTAATCTTACTTTATGTCCAGAGGAAACAATCTATACTTTTCCTTGCACTATTATAGATGTACATTTTTTTACCACTGTACAGGTTTCTGAAACAAGGAGAATTTTCTTAATTGTCTAGAATTTTCTTGAAACAATTTGAGAAGCATTTACTAGAGGTTTGAACAGGAATTTATGCCAAAGAGGATTCAAACAGAAATCATTACTCGATCAACTGGACCACATTTTCAGAAGAATGTGATGATGCTGCATCCGTACCTTTTCAGTTGTGTGTGTCAACCAGACTTGCAAAGTCAAGTGTCAAGTACCCTACTTCCTTAGTAGCCTACTTCAGAGGCATATGTTTTATTTCCTTCCACCCTCTTAGGCATGTGCACAGCTTTATGGAAGATACCTGCTCAGTGTTCAGTTGTTTTTGGCACTGCCTTGAGGTGTGTACCTATATAAGCCCTCACCGGACTATATGAGCCTCCTGTTCCACTAGTGACAAAAACTTAGTTAGAATAATTGTATCAAAGGATGTCTAGAAATACTGTGCTCAAAGTAGAGTCCGCTTCAAAGTTAGATCAAATTGCTTAGGGCCTTGTTCATTTGAATTCTGAATTTCTCAAAAAATAGGAGAATGTAAAATTTATTTTGGCAATCCTTTCCAGTGTTAGTTCAGTGTGTTCTGGTATTAATCTTGGTTTGTAGGACCAGAAAATTAGGTTTGCAGCCATACGGTCTGATATATATGCAACTTCTAGTTGCATAGTTCAATGCAGAAGTATTTGCATTCTATACACAAGAATCACAGCACTTTGGAAACTTCTGGCAGGAGGAAACAAAATTTCTTTTCTGCACATGATAGCTTTTTGTTTGTTTGTTTATTGGTTTTGTTTTTTTCTTCAAATGCAAGTAAGATGTGCTAAACAGACTACATACATATTTTTTTCACAACCTGACTTATTTTTTTGAGAATTTGGTCACTGGAGGTCAGGCATCCTCAAAGTGGAAAATATTCAGGATTTTGGCAGGTTGCTTTGATCACTGCACTTCTTTCTTTCCACATCACAAGTTAGCTCAGGTACTGGAAGTAATGTATGCACGACAACTCATTCCTGAGCCTGAGCTAATCAGCTCTGCTAATTTGTCAAGTGTAATCCAAATAATGCATTATAACACTAACAGCCAGTCTGTTTCATATAACAAAACCAGACCACAAGGTGGTCTGCCTTTAACACGCACTACACGGCACCTTGTAGACAATACTCTTAGGCAAAGTCCTCTTTAGAGTGTAGAATTCCTGAGAGTGCAAAGATGACTTGAGCATACAGTCAAAGTATGAATAAAAGACAGGGGTAAATACAAATTCTATTCATTAAGCTGCTTAAAGCCCTAAATGAGTAGTAAATATAATGTTTTAACGAAAACATTTACTTGGAAAGGCCAAGGAAATGAAAATGATATTGCAAATGAACAAGCATGACACCTATCTCACAAAACTGTAAGAATTAATGTATCTAGAGAAGCAGAATCACAAAGACCGCAACATGGCTGCAAAAGGGTAATAAAATACAATGGTTTGCAATTTACTTTCATTGCTGATAATTACTCATTCTCCACATTATACAATAAACGGAAGTATCTGTGATTTCTACAACAAAATAGCATATTCTATCAGACTGAACTGATGTGCATGTCAGTGTTTTACCTCTGCTTCATAATGTTATTCGGCACAAGTTCTGTGAAAAGAGCTGGCTGGGAAAAGGAGGTAGACTACAGTAACTCTGCTGGTCAAGAGAATGCAGCATCAGTTCAGTATTGGTTAGGTGTCAGAGAATCAGAGAGAGACCAAGAGAGTATCAGAGAAAGAAGAAGGATAAATATTATGAATATCTCAACTGTGAACAAATTTTGTCCGTACCCTGTTACTGGGCACCATTTGCTTTAGCCCTGATTCAAGGAAGACACTGATTCTCACGTTCCCAATGAGGCTCTTCTTCTGGCTAGGCATTCATAATAGCACCTTCATGTGGGTTCTTCAGTATCTAATAGGAGCTGAGATTGTCCTGCATTATTACTACAGCTGAGTTCAAAAGCCAAGAGACAAGGTTTCACTGATTCCAATGCACATTATAGATTGTTCTCATGAACATACAAGTTTGCTGTGTGGATTATTATTTAAAGATGTGGAAACCAGCAAAGATGAAGAACATTTTCTTTATACAATTTTTTGCTGTGTTAAGAGTTTTTTCACCACCTCTATAAACAACAGAAGAAAAGCTGAGACTGTAATGTTAAAATGTCAGATCATGTAATCAGGTTTTGTTACAAGGGAATTTGGGATCCGAAAGACATCTGTGATTTTTGCATTAGGTGATGGTGTCTTACCTTCTGATGTGCTTATAGTTACAATAGGGCTCATAAGCTCAAGACCCTCATTCCCATCTGAATTCACAGCCCGAGCTGCACACTGGACACGAGAACCAGCTTGAAAGTAAATGGAGTCAAGCGTAATCATCTTAGAGGAAGTGAAGAAGGTGTCAAAGTCAACCTCTTTCATGGGGCTAGTCACACCATCAGGGCCAGTGGGTGCACTTACAAGCCACCGGTATCGTGTCAGAGTATTATTGATGTTCTCACTGGCACATATAGAACCAGTCTTGTCAAAGTCTTCATATTTAGGATTGCAAGCCTGCAGAATAAGGCACATATGTTAATTTATTTGCTTCATGGCAAAGGAATTTTAAGTTACCAAGGCACAAAACTCAACAACATGGAACTGACAATCCTAGTAAATCTCTTAAGAAATCACCTTATTTTGACAGTGATGCTTTTAGCTCTCTCATGGTAGATTAAAAGGAATATTTAATTATGCTTATTGAAAGCAAAATATTCTTTTAAATTATGATTTATAGTCAAAAGTTATTAAGGCATAATGGCATAGTTATTAAGGCATAAACTATGCTACACACACTACTTTAAATTTAATTTCTCCCTTTGATCTAATTCTGCAAATATACTTCGTATTTCAACATCTCTTTTTTCTTTTTGTTTTAAATTTAGGAGAACTGTTCAACATATGATACATTCCTGTGCATAAGGAATGTGTGAGAAACAAACTGAAGATACAGATGGACAAAAACATTCCTCAATGCGTATGAATATTCACGCAAACTTTTCAGTTGCAAAATTACAATGAAAGAAGTATGTGGTCCTTCAGCAAACGGTATTAATTTTTCAAACTGTGGCACTCATTCTAAACAATGGTTCATCTGTCATCTCCAGTGATTTTAACTCTGCAAATTAAGGCAAGCTAATGCAGGAAATAGTAAGGTCATGCAATCATAGACATAGAGTAAGTGTCAATTTCAAACTGTTTTTAGTGAGGAACAAGTGAAACATCTTTCTATGGTTTTTGTCCTCCTGAAAACAGACTCATTATCCAGACAAATTAGATTAGCTCTGAGGATAGTTCTAGCTTGAAGTCATATGTGACTCACCACAATATGGATTAATCCTATCCCATCTATAATTAATATTTGGGTACTTAAAATTCACAGAGCAAAATGTATATACTGATTTTGTTCCACTTTTCCACAGAGATACTCACTGTGATACAGATGACAGGATAGCCCGCTATGGGTCTGGTTCTGTCTTTGGCTCTAGAAGTATCATCATATATCAAAAGGGATGCAACTTGAGGAACAGAGGGAAAGGTGACATCTGCCATGCTGTTAGTTTCTTCGATGTAAACAATGGCCTTGGCTGTCTGACAATGAAAAGATGGAAACAGTTCTCTGTGAAAATTTAAACAAATAAGGGCATTCAAGCTGGACCTTGATCAGACTATGTCTAAGCCTTTGAAACATTGTCCCAAAAGAAGGTCTAAAACCTCAACTGGATGAGCTACTGCAAAACAGTTGAGGCACTAGAAAGTATATTGCAAAGTGCAAAAGGAAGAGCTAAAACGATTTTTTGTCTTTTCAGAACACTGAAGATTCCAGGCCCTTTAGCCTTGTGTCCTAGCTTTCTTAAACCACTTCAGTATTCTGGTAGAGCCCTAGTGTGCACTGTATGCTTTAAAGCGTGGGGGAAATGGGGTGGTTGTCCCACAAACAAAACAAAGGCTGTGTCTCTTCTGGTCAGCTATCTGGAGTCAGACTATGTATGGTGTGACACTGATGAAGCAGCTGAAGAGTTTAAAGAACAATCAGAGGAATATACCTATTGAAATTAAAAGTATGTGTGATATAAATTGCTAAATAATGAGAATTTGTGACTATTTCATCTCACACACCAAGAATAATATTAAGAGGGTTTTGAAAGCAGAAGTTATATTTCACCTGATTGCTCTTTTTATAGCATTGAGGTTATATTGTATTGGTATAGAGTCTTTCCAAGAGGATGTCAGTCTCTAGGACTGATGGTGTGAGGAGAATGTGTCTGGAATTATATCTTGAATACTTCAGTCTTTCATTGACTCCAAGACCCCATGAACACCATTGCCTCGGCAATAAACTGTTTTAGATAGGTGCCACTGTGTCATCTGGGATGATCTTCTTTGTCTTTTAAGACACAAGCCAAGATGGCATGAATAAACCGTAAAAGAAGAGTGAAGCTATGAGCCACAAAGCAAGAGGTCTGTTTACCATATTTTGTTGTTTGGGACTTTGCATGTGTTTGTTACCTGTATTTCTGCAACCATGTTCTCATCAGGTTTCAGATGAACAGTGAAGGCTTCTCTCATCTCCCTTACTCCATCAAAGAGAACTTCAATTTCCACAAAGTGCTGTGTTTCACCCTCCTTAAACTCAATTTCTAAAAAATAACGAGACACTTAAAACCAAATCTGCTGCTCATAACAAGTTGTGATTCTAGGCCCAGCCATGAGAGGTGGCAGCTAATACTCACTTTTCAAATTACAGATGGTTGTACATTTAGTTTAACCCATTTGATGCTAAAGATAATAATAATGAATAGCAGTGGACACATGAAAATCACTGAAAATGAGGCATTCTCACCATCAAGAAATTTTCAAAGATTAAGATTTAGTCTAACAGAATTCGATATTTTTAAATTATCTGGTACTAATTACATAACTGTTGGTAACACATGTGAATGACCAAAAGACTAGAATTCTACAAAAAATGTATTGAGACGTCTTGCTCAAGCAATATTCATTTAAATGTAATGCTACATAGAAAAAATAAGGCAAAACCTGGAGTTACACAAGATCTGGCAGATCCCAGAGGGCTGTGATCAGTGGCACAGAGTCTAGTTAGAGGCCTGTCACTAGTGATGTTCCCCAGCATTCTATACTGGGCCCAGTATTGTTTAACTGGTTCATCAATGACTTGGACGAGGGGACAGAGTTGCCTTTTCAGCAAGTTCACTGATAATACAAAAAGGGAGGGAGGAGTGGCTGATACCTCTGAGTGCTGTGCTGCCCTTTAGAGGCACCTCAACAGTTTGGAGAGATGGGCAGAGCAGAACCAATGGAAATTCAACAAGGGCAAATGTGGGTCCTGCACCTGGGGAGGAATAACCCTGAGCACCAGTACATGTTGGGCAGAGACCTGCTGGAGAGCAGTTCTGTGGAGAAGGACCTCAGGGTCATGGTGGACAACAAGCTGTCCATGAGCCTACAGTGTGCCCTTGTGGCTAAGAAAGCCAGTGGAATCCTGGGATGTATTAGGAAGAGCATTGCCAGCAGGTCAAGGGAGATGATCCTGCGCCTCTACTCAGCCTTCATGAGGCCACATTTGGAGTATTGTGTCTGATCAGTTCTGGGCTCCTCAGTACAAGAGATGCATGAAGCTCCTAGAGTGGGTCCAGTGGAGGGCAGCAAGGATGATTAAGGGACTGGAACATGTCTCTTACAAGAAAAGGCTGAGGGAGCTGGGCCTGTTCAGCCTCGAGAAGAGAAGACTGAGAGGGGACCTCATCTACATACACAAGTATCTGAAGGGAGGGTGCCAAGAAGATAAAGCCAGGTTCTTCTTGGTGGTCCAAACCAATAAGACAAGAGGCAATGGACAGAAATTGATGCACAGGAAGTTCCACTTGAATACAAGGAAGAACTTCTTTACTGTGCAAGTCACTGTGCACTGGAACAGATTGCTCAGAGAGGTTGTGGATTCTCCCTCGCTGAAGATATTCAAGAATCATCTGGATGCAATCCTGTGCCATGTGCACTAGAATAACCCTGCTTAAGCAGGGAGGTTGGACCAGATGACCCACTGTGGTCCCTTCCAACCTGACCAATTCTGTGATTCTGTGAGTACTGTATTTCAAAATCATTGTCTTCGAAAAAACTTTGGAGGTCATGGTAGATAAAAAGCTTAGTCTTAGCTGATCACATTGGGTTTGCATGGCAAGGTTTTGGTACTGGAGAGGCAGGGCTGCAGGGGTCGTTTCTCTGAGAAGATACCAGAAGCTTCCCCTATGTCCAAAAGAGCAGTGCCAAACAGCTCCAAGGTAGACCCACCACTGGCCAAGTGGGAAGCTTGTGCTGGAGCAGGATCCTGGCAGGACCTGTGGCCCTGTGGAGAGAGAAGGCCATACCGGAGCAGGTTTGATAGCAGGACTTGTGACCCCATGGGGGACTCGCACTGGAGCAGTTTGTGATGAACTGCAGGCCAGGGGAACAACCCACAATGTAGTTTGTGGAGGACTGTTTCTTGTGGGTGGGACCTCATGCTGGAGTAGGGAAGTGTAAGGAGGAAGAAAGGTCAGAAATAGCATGTGATGAACTGACTGCAACCCCCATTCCCCATTCCGCATCCCCTTGAGTCGCTCAGAGATAAAGAATTTGAAAGTGAAGTTAAGCCCAGGAAGAAAAGAGGGGTGGGAAGAGGTGTTCTAAGATCTAGTCTTAATTCTCACTACCCTACTCTGATTTGACTGGTAATCAATGAAACTCATTTCCCCGAGTCAAGTCTGTTTAGCCCATGAGGGTAATTGGTAAGTGATCTCTTCCTGTTCATATCTCAACCCATGAGCCTTTCACTGTATTTTCTCTTCCCTCTCTAGCTGAGGTAGGGGATTGATAGAGCAGCTTTGGTGGGCACTTGCTGCCCAGCCAAGGTTAATCCACCACACTGACACAGTTGTAGAGTACTATGATTCTTGACTGTATTAATGACTAAAGAAACAAAAAGTATAGAAACTATTTAACATTTGTGTCTGGAATGGGTAAGAGAGATACTAAAATAATAGATGCATTTCTACTATTTTTATTTTTAAAGGATGTCAAATTAACTGAAGATGGTACAAAAATAACCAAGAGAAACTAAGGACCTGAAGGAAAAAGAAAAGACTTGCAGCAAGTGATGTTCTTGCTGCATATTGAAACACCATCACAAACAATATATACCAGGTGCTAAAGAGCTCTGCACTCTAAAGTGACAGGCACAATAAGCAGTAGTGCATTAGAGCTGAAGTGGGCAATAAGGCACAGATAGGTGATAGGGACTGGTCAGTGAAGCAAAATGCTAAGAAACACTCTTCGTCTCCCATGCCTTCAAACCAAGACTGGACGCCCTTTCTACCGGATATATTTCCTCTAACCAAAGTTATTGGGCTCAATACAGAAGTAACTGGGGAAAACTGGGAGAATCTTACAATCCACAGTGAGTCTGATTAAGCGATCTAATGATCCTTCTAAGCCCTAAGTGTTATTAAGCCATGAAAATACTCTTTGTGGTAACATGCTGCATGATAGCTAAGAATTTTACACATTTTCAGTTTGTCACATTTCTTTCAGAAAACCCAAATAAGAATGTGGGTTTAGTCCCCACAACTGAATAGGCAGGTTCTCTAAACCCACAGGTATTCTGAAACCTGTGGGGAAATCCTGCACATCACAGACCTTTCTCAAAGGCTTCTGGGCAGAGGCTGAGAGCCTCTTGTTCTGGAGTAGCATGTTTCCCTTGAAAACTTTGCTCCCATGTGCTGTCGGTGCACAGCAGGGAAGGTGTCAGCACGGCAATGCCCATAGGTAACACATATAGGGTAAGTATTAGCTGACACTAAAAGTTCTTGCAGTTTTCAGAAGGAAAGTAAGAGTATAAAAAGCAGGAGCTAAAGTGACGAATTAGCAAGCTCTGGGTTTATAATTTTCTTACTGCTAGCAAATTTTCTCTTTGGATATCACTAGAGGCAAATGCCTCTTCTATGGAATTTGAAGATAAACCAACATTGTTGCTGGATTTTCAAAGATAAGTCCTATCTTTCAGCTGGACTGGACACCAAAAGAGCTTATCCAAAACTGTGAAAACACTCCAGCAATGAATGATTAATCTTAAAACACAGATTGGTATCATGTATTATCATAAACTTGAGAAGGAAAAAAAACCCATAATGCTATAAACTCCATTAGTCATTCACTAAACTATGTGGGTGGGCTATTAATGGAAAGAAGTTTATCAGCTAAGAAATTTCTCATTCTGTTGCACAACTTTTCTCCTCATTCATTACTAGTACGGAACAGCAGGCACTGAATTGCAGAAATACAGAAAGAAAGTTTTACTTTTATCAATGTAGAAAAATAAAGAGAAATAGACATTAATTCCTACATAGAGCAAAAGACATTAGCTTAATGAATCACTCAAGAAACAACCACACAATCATATCCTATGAATACATGTATCTTCAGAGTAATGGTGTTACACTTTGGAAATATTACTAAGTTAGCACTCACACATTTCTTCCACAATTACCTGAGCTACAGATATTTTCAAAGGAGTCACAATTCATTCATATATATCTTTACTGATAACTAGTATTCCAAGAGCAATTGGCTGTTGCATACCACACTGAATTTGAATAACAAAACACATTATGGGATGTGGTTGCAAAGCATTCTATTCATAAAGTTATTTCATTTTTCAGACATTATGCCACAGTCATGAATGAAAGTAAACAGTAGTATGTGATAATTGTCTTAATGATCCTACCTTCTGATATAGGGTGATAGTCTACTCCAGAAGTAGCAGATCCATCCTTTGTATGAACTCTGACAACAGAAACCTTAGAAGTGTCTCCCAGACGAAGCACTGGGATTTTTACAACTGCTACTTGCCTTATGTCCCTTGGTTCACTCACACTAAATTTGGTCTCACCAAACTTAATAATAGCCTCTGTAATAGAAGAAAAAAAAGTTTTTAGAGCACACAAATAGGCTTCCAAAAGCCAATAACAACAAAATATTCCCTTACTGTCTGCATCATCTTGAATCTTTATCAGCGTCTCGTTTTGTTCGCCAATAGAGGCACCAAAGGAAGAATCACTTCTTGGAGTGCCAAGAACCAGACGTAGTTCTTCCTCTTCTTCGTGGAAACTATCATCCATAAGCACCAGTGTGCAAGGCTTCTCAGTTTCACCTGCAAGCATTCTGAAGGTAATATCAGGTAGAACTTAGGTGTTCTTTGCTTTATTACAGCACTTATTTCCAAGCTCAAGGAACCAGAGGCTGCTTCTGTTGGCCAAGGCATCCCCCTTGACACCATATACATTAATGAGTAATTACAATAGTGAAAGCAGAATTAGTAATCACTACCTTTCTACCAAAACTCATTAAAGTGGAATCCCCCATTTTGGGACTTCTCTAAGCCAAGTTTCTATTGGGTATATCCACTTTACATGTATTACTCCTTTTGTTTTATATTAGAAGAAAAGACTCTTTTTCGCAGTGAGCTTTTCCACAGAGTACATTTAAAAAATAAATACTTGCACAAGGAGGCAGAGTAATAAAAATTTCACTAATACCAACAGTAATTTTGTACTGAAATCTTATATTTAAACTCTCTTCTGACTGGACACTCTCCAACTGTATGGACCTTTGCTTACATTATTGCAATCATTTTTAAAGTCTTTTGACCTCCCACTGATTACAAGTGACAATGAATACTGCCTTTAAAATGCTTTAGAGCAGCAAAACACTCAATTTGTGTACTCACAAATCAGTGTGCCGAGACTTACTAGATGTTCAGAAACTCTGGGAAAGAGGCTTTGACTTAGGCCTTCTACAAGAGCAGCAAGAGTTGTGAGTACTGTGCAGAGAGAGTGTCTGGCACCCAGTGCCAGACTTTGTGGGCTCATCGTCATGAGAATAACTCCACACCCCAGACAAAAGGAACAACACAGGACAAGAGAGATGAGGTCAATTTACAGTATTTTTTCATCATTATACATGCAAATACGATCAAGGCTCTTCAAGATGAAGAACCAGACCAGGATGTTGACTATTCATTTTCTGGTTGCTTTTTTTCCTCCTATAGAAAATAAATTATCCATTAGGAGGAGAAAAAAAAATCAAAATATTAATCCTAGTCATTGCTACATGGGAAATATGAAAACTGAAATGAAACTGCTGCATATTAAACAGGCCTAAGAAGCTTGTGGAAACAAGGCATAATTCTATCAGACCTCTTTGCTCCTTGTCTTCATGGCAGAGCAACACCCAAAAAAAGAGAAAGGGACCCAGATACTTTAATTCTTACAAGTTTGACTCTTTCTTTGTTGCACAGAACCGATGGAAAAGGTGTAGGGTACATTACAGCACTAAAAGCTGAGGCCAGCTCTAACTAAAGACCGAACAATTCTTTCAAGAGAACTATGATAAACGTTTACAGAAATATGAATGTTGTCATTTCTGTGCTAAAGGCATACCAAAGATTTTATGCTGATGACAGAACTTGTTTAGGGCTTGTAAAAATATTACACGTGTGTAAACATCAAAGACTAAAAGATGAAACTGTCTTCTGCACAAATAGAAGGAATTAAGCAATATTCTTTCAAGTTAGAAACGTGATTTATTTTCTATTTCATCTCTGATGTGAGATATTAAGTACCTGACATTGGTGGGCTGTCTTAGGAAATCCTCAGTGGGATAAAAAAATTCAAACAGAAATCAGAGAGCTTTATCCTTGTTGAAAGATCTATTACTCATTTCAATGCAAGTCAAATGTATTTACCAGAAATCTGCTGAACAAAAAGCAGAACTTCTCAAGTTTCCTTTCTGACAGCAGATCTGTATTTCTACTCTGTTATGCTGAACCTGCTTTTGCACTCAGGCTGAAACTATATGAAGATATGTCCCTTTGGTTCTTATTGATTATTACTCTAGGTCAGAAGCGAAGCAAATAGAGGAAACAGCACTTCTGTGCACTCTTCTCATTGTGTATGAAAAAAATAAGCTCAGTTTTCCAGAATCGTCTTTTTGGCGCTACTTTAGAAGAAGACACAATTAAAACAAAATGAAGCAAAGGAAAGGAAAGGAAAGCAAAGAAAAGCAAAGCAAAACAAAACATGGTAGACTAAAGTCTTCTAAAACAAGATCGAGAACTTACCAGGAAGGAATGTGATGATGGAACTGTCAGTATTAGGACGTTCTTCAAAGTCCATCATTACCTGAGCTGAACCTTGTCTTGTATAGCATCTCACAGTGGATGTGTATCTGATATCCCCACTCCTATATATCATGGCAGAAATCTGTCCATCATTTTCATTGCCTACGTATACAGATTCTTTAAACTGCATCTTAGGCACTGGGCAGAAAAACACAAAAAGCATGTGTAAAGTATAACTGCAGAAGTTATCATAAGTTCCCTCCAGTATTTCAGATTTATTTATGTTACATTGCACTAGTTACATAAACAACCAGACAGCAAATGACTTAACATATCTCTAGCTGAAACAGATAGACTCACTAGCTTTGGTGTGATTCAAAAGGACAAATGCTATTTGTGTATTGCAGTCATCCATCTCCTGCATGAATACAAAAACGTTAAAAAAAAATTACTCACAATCGGACACTGAGTCATTAATGAAGATGGTGGCCTTGCTGGGCTCTCCAAGGGCAGCATTCATGGGCATCCTTAGCACAAGCTCAAACTTCTCAGTTCCTTCTAACACTGGCTGTCCAAGATCATCCAGAATTACCACATGAAATGTCTGCATATTGACTCCAGGGGAAAAATCCAGATTACGACTAATGCCTACGTAATCTACTCCAGCTACCAATGGAAAAGAGATAAAAATAGCATTATGCGTAATGAAAAATAAAAATATCTATCATTAGGCTTGTAGGCAAATCTATTTTGGCAGTATTTGCCAAATTCTGTCAGTCATGTAAAGCAAAACTATCTTTGGGCCATCTAAATTGGATTACATAATAAAACAAGTCAATATTAAACTAAATTTTTTTTAGTCTGTTCTGTTGCAAACCAACAATTATTCCAGAAAAACTAAATAAATTTGCTTGAGGTGAGAAATGAAAGTAAGTAAAAAGCTTTTGAAAAACTCCGGAAATGCAGCAAAGTCTTTTGGAGAGAAAATTCTTATCATTCTGTAACAAAGACGGAAGCTTTAAGACTAATACAAAAAGGGAAGGAGAAAGGGCCAGTGAGTTGATTGTAAGGAAGAAGTGCTGTTCAGAGGAGTTGTGTAAAACAGAATGAAGTGAAAACAAACAAATCAAATTCTGCTCAGACTGTATCAGGTGAGGTCTGGCACCTTAATGTTAAAGGCAGACTGATCTGGGTTTGGTTTGTTTGGTTTTAAGCTAAGCAAACCAATCCACAACACGCCAATGAGAAGAAAGCAAACAAAAGACACTGACTAAAACATGACACTATTTTGAAACCAAAGCATTAAAGGTATCTAGGACTTCAGGGAAGGATTGAGTTTTAACCTTCCTTTTTGAGGAGAATAAGCAGCTGAGCTGTTGAAACAAAGCTGTGGGGAAAACACTTTCATTGAAACTGAAATAAGGTTTAGAATTCTGTGAATTTGACAAAATTTGGCCAGATTAAAAGCCATCATCAGATGGGCACTTGTCTAGAGTCCTTGCCACTCTACTCCAGAGCCAAGCCTCCAAGGCAGGATGCCAGGAACAACAGCTTGGAGCAGCAGATCCATTGCTGCACTGTGTAAGACCAAGAACCAGGTTCATCGCTTTACAGGCAGCCAGCCCTGTCAGAGCTTTCATGCTGTGACCAACAGAGTAGAGAGCTCAAGAGCTGAGCCATTCCCAGTTTTAATCCTAGAAGTCCCGGCACAATGAATTAAGATTCTTTCTGTAAGGAAATACCTCCCCCCCAAAATAAAATAACTAAAATATTCAGGATTACATAAAGATATCAAATCATAAAAGCAACTTCTGAAATGAAGCCATCATATATTTTTTCCAGACTTCATAATTTTCATGAGAAGAATACATATATGTTAAGTGTGATACATATATATGATGTTTACATATTCCTGAAACAACAGTAAAGTTACACACAGGAGAAGCATCTAACGAAGATAAATTTTACACTGCCTCTATATGAATGTCTTAGTTTAAACACTATGATGGAGTATGCTAACACTTCATTCTGCAAAGGTTCTGTCAATACATCATTGAACTACACAGCTGTAGCAATTCTCATCCTGAACAGGATATTAGGTAAGAATTTCTCCTTGCCTACAGCAAAAATGAGAGAACTCTGCACACTGCCAGTGATTATAACTGTGCCCAGAGTATATTGCTGTCAAGGCAACAATCAACTGCCTTTGTAGCGTAGTGGTTTATATAAGGATTTGAACGCATTTCTTTTAGTGCTGTACGTCACAGTTGCTCCTAGTCCTATTGCTTTGAAATTCTATCACTACTTAGTTTATTCTAAGAAGAAAGATCTGCTAAGAACAGGAGTTATAAATTTCATCTTATGCAGTTGAAACTATCTTAAGGTCCAATGTACTAGCATTTGTGTTGAGATGTATTATGAAACTAGAGTAAAACAGTAACTTACCCTCTGCAGTTACTGGCTCAGATTTACGAGACCTCACTGTAACAGAGGCAGCTTTAGACAGATCTGTTCCAGTCCTCCAGACATGCACCTCAATGTAGCCAGCACTCTCATCAACATAGTATACATCATTTCCAAAGGAGAATGCTGGTTCTGGTGAAAGAACAATAATGTCCATAAATGTTTCTTTACCTTACATTGAAGTTAGGAAGAGAGCAGAAAATCCACATTAAACAATGGAGAGTAATTTGCTCTTATCAGTAAGAGAAATAAAGCTTTGGGGTTTTTTTAAAGTTTAGAATTCTTCTAGCAATTTTTGGCTTCTTTTCAAGTTTTGGCTTGCCTGGTTTTGGATAGCAATTGTTATATCAGCACTGTGCTCTTTTCCTTACCTCCTACATTTTCAACTTTGTATGTCAGCATATATGAATTTGTGTGCAAAACTAAATGTGGTATCTCATTAAACTTATTTTAGCTGAGTCCTGTGCACAAGCCAGAAAATTCCTTGCATTTTTCACATTGGTACAAACAGACAAAGATGAATACAGATAATGAAACCTTAACTTGAATGTTGTCACAGATTCTTGTTGCTAAAACCAGACTGGAACACACTATATAACTGAAGTTGCTTTTGGAAATGTTTTCCAGCTAACCAGAGGGGCAAATACTTAATTTTAGTTACCTCACATCTAGCATTTAAAAAAAAAAAATCAATCTTATTTCACATAAACTGGAATGTGAACAGTCTTTTATCTTAATACTGAAGTTCCACAGTTTGTAAGAAAGAAGAGCAAAAATCAAAGGAGGTTAAGTGCTATCCCACTTAACAGACATACTGTTTATCCTCATTTTTCCCTCCCTTTTTCAGTTTTTCTACCCACAGCAATTTCACAAAGTAAACAGGCTTAAAAACATAGCTCAACGTTATCCTGGATGTATATCATCTCCCCTTTTCTATCCATTCCTGTTTCAAGTACACAAGAGTAGTCATGCATCGCCAGTGCCTCAGTTTTCCCATCACACAGAAGAAACGACACCTACCTTCCCCAAGGGTAGGAAGAGCTACACAAGTTCTCTTTGCACTTCATCACAATTTTCTTCTGTCATCTTGTGATACTTTATTATAATGATGAGGCTACAATATCATATATGTGTTTGAAATACAATACAGCACATTACAATACAACTTGAATTCAGTTGACAAAGATCATAGCAATTGACCAGTGCTATATCAGTGGCAAGCATAGAAGAAAGTAAACATTCAAAGGAAATGACTCAAAAAGTTTATGGCTCTAGAGAGCTATGCCTAGCAAACAGAAAAGGTGCAACCTGCCCAAAGGAGGAGCTATGAATCCTTTTTAATGGTAAGTGCAAGCTGGGCCCATCATTTCCATGAGTCGGTCAAATTTTTATAAGATTCTATGTATGTTGCAAAAGCTGTGACTTCTATTACAATGGAACCAGTGTTTTGGGATTGAAGAACCACCTCAGCATACAGCAGCAATCTCCTCTGTGGTAGATTCCTGAACAATGTAAAATAGCAACTTAATTAAAATTAACGAGAAATAATATAAAGTTATTACCCAGTTATCACTAAGCCAAAACTTAATCTGAGAATGCAGCAGTTAATAAGCATTTTGGAACTGCATTTGATATCCAATAAGCAATTGGAAATTTTGGAGAAAATAATTTTCTCTTCTACGTTCAAGAATTTTCCTGTATTTCACAACTGATAAAATTAAAAAGAAAAAGCAAACAAATGAACCCCTTTAATATTTCTCAGCAGTGAAACAAATGCAGCTGCCTCTCTACTTATCTGCCAAAACTAAAATCACAGGCTGTAACAAACTGATGGAACTAAATGTATTTACTGAGAAATATTGCAGATTAATAGACCTCCTTGAGCTTTTGCAGGATGAAAGACAAACTCTGAAGAAGTCTCACTTTGGTAGCTTTCAGTTTCAAACTGATTTGGTTTTTTTTATTCAACAGTATGTGTATGTAATTCTGTGTGTGTTTGTGTGCACAGACAGACACATATCAATCTTTATTTGCCTATAGGGACTGGCTTGACAGTAGTTGCATTTATATTTGGGACTGTAAAGCTCTTACCTGAAACATTTTTAATAGAAGAACAGGATACCTGTACTCTGTTCCTTCTGTATAACTACTATGAACTTTGATGAGACCTCTACTTACAGGGATACTACAGTACTGGATATTAGATGTGCAAAGAAATGTGCCATTTCTGATATAGAGTGTTCTTCTAAAATTCGAAGCATGCATAAAGACTTATCCAGCCTCTAGAGGTTAAAAATACAGAATTCCAGCTAAGACCAAATGATTATGAATGTGCTAACAGTTAAAGGCAATTAAAAATACTATAAGTTCTAATATATGCCATTTCTTAAGTATTCTTAAAGTTTAGCACAATTTCCCAAATCTAATCTTGTTCCTATAATCCTGTTCTCTCTCTATTGACGTCCCAATGATTCCGGAATTTGATCTGGACTTGGCTGCACCTCATTTAAAGCACTTAAGTGAGAGGTACTTACTTTGAGCCTGCTTTCTCTGTTTGCAAGGACAGAGAGAGGCCATTCCAGGAGGTTTCCCAGCATAATGAACATACAGAAAGAGAGGTGGAATGGCTCACTCATTGCAATGAGAAAAATCTGAGGAGGTGTGAAAGCATTTCCTTCTACTCCCTGACTACCCAGGGAATTTAGATGATCTGCCTTAAACTAGATAGAAGATATAAAATAAAATGTTGTTCATTTCTTGTAGTGTTCTCCTAATGCTTGCTTTACTGCTGCTGAAGAAGAATCATTGCGCTGTTCATTCCTGTAGTCACAGCCAAACAAAAATGCCTAAACCCTCATCCAGCTTGCCTTGTATTTCCGAGTGAGTTTTTCACACTTTTTAAGGCATGTGTATTCAATGAAAAGACACATTCTACGTGGTTACCCATCCTAGGAAACAAATCCTTACAAATGTTTTCTAAGTTCATTTCCTGTAAGCTGTGTTAGTAGCTCCCCAGGGGAAGCAGAAAAGCCAAGCTACTAACAGGGAAAGCATTGTCTTGCTCAGGTCATGTCTGGAAAACACTCTGCTCAATGACTGCAGGCTCACTTACAGCAGACCTTTAATCTAGTAATCATTCTGAAGAGAGACTACTGCAAATTTAATGGTTCCTCTTAGAGAAATGAGAGGAAGTTTTCTAAGAGTTTTTTTGTTCAGAACCACAGATTTCACTGGCATGAAATTACAATAATCAGAGTAGAAAGGTTAGGAGCTTTAGTCCCAGGTTTCTTGGCACAGAAATGAAATCTTTGCCTTGCCTTTGTACTTAAGCAGTCAGGAGCACATCTCAACTACAGCACTTATCAATCGTCAAGCAGGAACAAACCACACTACTCGTGTTGTTAGGAATACGTCTATTTTTGAAGGTACATCAGAAAATCAATTTATAGCACAAAAATGTTTATTTCCAAGGAGGCTTTTGTTTTTAAAATTATATCCTGACAATCTGTTTTAGAGAGGCATGGCAAAAGAGTAGGTTGTAAAATATCCTGCTGGCAGGTAGTTAGGACGAACACAAAAAACCCAGACTCTTCCATGCTGACACCTTGAAGTCTTAAAACTAAAGTGAATTTCAGTGATACGTGCTACCAGTGAGGGACATACACATACGTTCACACAAACACACATATATATATTCTCAGGAGGAAAGAAATAATAGCAGAAAACAAACATGCCACTCTGACATATTTAGACAGTGGAACTAGTAGAAGCAGTCTTTACAAATGAACTCATGGCTGATCTTTTCTAGTGGTGCAAAAGTGTTTATTCCTATAAGTTTTTACCTTCTTTCTTTGCATGAAAAGTACGAACAAAGCAACGATGTGAACATTATGAGTTGCCAGAGCTAGCAAAGTCTGTTGTGGCAATGCAAGAAGGTGCAAAACAGTGCTTTGCAAAACAAGAAGCTTGTTCTGGTACAGTCTGGACATGCTAGTGCAATGCTGAGTCCAAAGTAATGAGTCCTGATGGCTGGCTCAGCTAATTAACTTGGACGTAACAACAAACATGCCAGGTTTCCTCTGGACCTGATCTTGCTCATACTCAGACAACATATACATCTCTACACAATACCTACTTGTGTTTCAGTGTCGCAGCTGGCATTAAATGACTGAGCTGCCAAGTCTCTAACAGAAGAGACTCTTCCTTTCTGAATATGAAGTGTGTGAGTTGTAGATAGACCAGCTTAGAACAGGAGTTCCATTAAAATTTGAGAGCATGGGCATGTACTGTTTAATAGCAGTAAAGGTCAACTTCTGTAATCTCTCTCATATATGCATGTTAATAGCAGCAAAAGAAGAGCTCAGAAAACCTGTCCATTACAAAAAGTTTATATTGTGATAATATCAAAGTGGACTTCAAAATCTGAAACTAGGTAGCAGAATTCTACAGCTATTTACGCATACTTGAAACTGTGCAAGCAAAAGTGCTTGCATTGAGCACAATGAATTTAATTTGCCAAGTCATTTATTTTTACTGAATGCTGTAGTGGCAGGGGTCAAGATTATAGTCAGAGCTCAGTTCTGGAGCAGGTACCTATTGTGCAAATGCCAATAGCTTTTTATTTGATGTGGTCAAAACAGATTACTTTTCAAAATTCATATGTTGCAATCTTAACAGCTTTTATGTTCTTAGCACCATTGTGGGAACTTTTGCAATCAAAAAGTAAATTCTCCTCAGAATAAAAATTACTAGGTTCAGCTAAACTGCCATAGACATTATCTCATGCAAATAATGTCTGCATTTCATTTGTCTCAACAGCCCATTTCTGTCTATCAACTTACAGAGAGGGTTTTTTAACAATACTGCAAACATTATAACAGGTAAAAGGTCAAACTCACACAAATGCAAGCTTTACCAAACTCAGTTTGATTTTGTAAGAAAATTACACATTTTTTTAAATCTACAATGGTAACGCCATATGCTGATTAGACTGGCTCATCACTTAATTACTCTCACTTTATGCAACTTAACCCCATTATTTCAGTAGAATAACACAGTGTGAATCAGTAACTGTGATAAACAACATTGTATGTGATTAATTTTTAATTAATTAATGACACATACTAATTCAG